GGCAGAGGGCAGGGGGCAGGGGGCAAGCGACCCATGGAGCGTATGTTTGTGCACAAAAGGATTAAGTTTGCTCTGTCCTTTCCTACTTTCGATCATGTGTATTGTGTGAAATGGCTTCATTTGCGTTTAGTAATGATATGGAGCGCCTGCCATGGCAAATGCACTTCACTTTTACTGTATGTGGGCACCTATTAAGCATATGCATAGCTTCCCGCAACGACCCCCACATATACTACATTAACATAGATTTTGGGAATGGAGCACTATAAGAAGTATACACTACTCGAAGGCCGATTACTTTACTATGTGCCATTCCTGGGACTAATCAGCGGAACAGCTTTATACTCCACCAATAGTTCTATATCGAATGCCTTCGATGTTTCCAGTCAATAATTTAGGTTGTCTTCTCCTTTTTCTCGAGGAGTATGCCTTTTTTGTAAACCTATTCCATGTGCATTTGATGCTCACATAAGACCAATTGGTTTATTTGCTTCGTAAGTTATTTAGTTTGGGATTCGATTTTCTACCAAATTTAATTGGTTGAACTATTTGCGGTTCGTGGCTTAGACCCTTGACATTATGATGCAAATGGCAGTTGAAGTTATTTGACCTTTTTGTAGTTCAATTCAATTAAAGTCAAATGATAGTGGAACTAGGTTCGATTAGTTAATACGTTGGCCATAAATCTTCATTTGGCGGCTCCAATTAAAAATTATCTCTAATTGGCGCGTGCGAATGGTTGCAGGGACGAAAGGTAGGGTAAGTTAAGGTGAGGGGACGTAAGGTCCTGCGGCCATGCTGTCTTCTTGAACTTTTACACGTCTTATCGCTGCTATTTGGGAACAAATCGTGCTATGCGGCACAGCTCTCGGCACACCTGCCGTTTGACTTTTGAAAGGCAACCCAGACACATACACACACACACACACACACACTTTGTACACCCAGGGGCGCACACACACACACACATACACATACCCTGGGATACATGGAGCAAGTGGCGTGCAGAAAGGAGCAAAAATGTAATTCGGATTTAATTGCCTGTTAACACGCACTCGCGCACAGCGGGCACAGGCAACAGCTCGTAAAAAGCGCACAAAAAGTGGCAGGTGGGTAAAATCGAGGAGGCGGGCCAGGGACAGCAGCGACAGCAGCGACAGCAATGAGTTAAAACAAGAGGAAACAGTTAAGCGCGGCACTCACAAAATGAACAGCTCGTAATTTAAGCAGCAAATTGTGGGATACCCTTTTGTTCAGCTTGTTCAGCTTGTTTAGCTTGCTTAGCTTTTTGGGTGAGCCATGGTCGGCTGCCAAAAAGAGGTAAATGCACTTTTTAAGCGCTGCCCGCAACTGATAAGCAATCTCGTAAATAGTACGCTCTCCTTTCACTAGGTGCCAGGCAAAAATGTTTAGAGTAACTGTTCGAACTTACCGAATTGCGGAACTACAGCAAAAAATGCTTGACTTTAATCAGACAGCAGAAAACAGTTGGCGTGCGGTCATGGAAGCCGATGAAGAAGACTCGGTGAAAGAAGTGCCGATGTGGCATAAGCCGCAGATAGGCAGCGCGTGATATGCGGCAACCGACATTCATTACGACATAAATTCGTTTAGTTGCCGGTCGCCCAAACATTCCGACAGACTGAAACTGGCGCAGGCACTGCTGCCGATAAGGCACCCACACCCCACCAAAGGCAGCACCGGCACCAACACCAAGCGCAGCAACTGCAACTGCAACAGCAACATCTGAGGCAACGACTAGTTGTACCTCATGTACTGGACTTTGTCGATGATGCCATTGCAGCACGCATAACGCAAAGTGCTGCATACGCCAAGGAGTTGCTGCTCCTGCTATCTGCATATATATGTATCTGTGGGTGTGCTTGTGCATACCCACACACAGACAAGCGCCTTTCTAGAGAATTCGCTTTCTCGACAAACGCCGCGCTACATTGTCTGCTTGCATGCAAATAAATTAAAGTCAGGTAAGTGTACACGCGCGCTTTGCTACCACCTACCACCTGCCATCTACCATCTACCAACTGCCACCTACCATCTACCACCTACCACTATCATCATCATTATCATCACTAGCACCAGCCCTCTATGAGAGGGCGCATCAGGTCTAGCACTCAAACTACCCGCCGTATTCCGTGAGGAATATGTGAGGCTAGCGATTTATTTAATAACTTAATAAATAAATAAATTACGTATACGAGCTGTTGCCAGCAAAACAAAAAAATAAATAAATAAATAAATAAATATAAATATATAAATATATTTGTGCATATAAGAGAAGAGACGAGAAGAGAAGACTTAGCCCAGCCAGCCCAGCCACAACAAATATGAGATGGGTACTTTGTAAGTAAATGAAACAATTAATTAGATTCCATGTTGCATGCAAATCCTATTAGCTGCGACAGTATGTCGCAGCCACTCTCATGCATACTTAATTTGTCAGTTTTGGCGCAAGTTCGCAAAAACGCAGGATCCGTTAGCCAACTGTTGCACTACGAGCACAAGGAGGTCGGAGCACAGCATGGTCGAGGGGCAAGTGGTGTTTGTTGTTAACTGGTTCATGCGGCTGCTGAGCTGGTGTGGTGCTTAAAAAATTAATAGGCCGTGGCAGGTGGAGCTTGCTCTGAGGTGCTCCCATTCATATTTTAAGGCAAGCGCCATTTAAAGTTGAGTAACGTGTTAAATTTAAACTACTTAATAGCCACGTATGCTCACGCATAAGTCAGCCCCACTTGCGTCTGTTGATAAAGTGAGAAGGGAGCAGCAGTCCAGCACCAGGTAACACGCTCAAACCTGGACCTAGACCCAGACCCACACCCAGACTCAGAACGAGGCCCAGACTCAGTACTACCTGGCGCACACCCCAAGAGCGCCAGCAACTAGACGTCGCTGTGGAAAGTTTCCATAGCTATTCATATCTATGCATGGGTGTGCTGGTGAGGTAATTAGAAAATTTTATGCGATTACTACTTGCTTGTTTAACATTTTGGGCAACATTCTTCCATCCTTTAAAACACACACACACACACGTACCCAGAGAGGACCGCGCGCCATGTGAAAAAAGGAACAACATGCAACTGCGCCAATGATGCGAAGTAAAGTACAAAAGCGGCTTTTAGAATATTAATGGAATACTAAATACATATAGCGTGTAAAGTGGCATACTCACACACACATAGACACATTAAAATGAGTGTTCGAGGGGTGGTTAAAAAGACGAGCGACAACTTCAACTAATTATCATTACCCTGCTCGTCAGATAACTCATTTTCAAGAAAATTATTTCCAAATTATGTAAATCGACAAATTTGCTTCTGTTCCTGCTTGACTGGCAATTGCTGTTCGGATTGAAACTCTCAAGTAGAGCAAAAGGAAGGGGATATATGTACATGCAAGTTACTTTCCTAAATGCCTGAACACGCCAAAGCAGCCGCACTTTTCAGGAAATTAAAAATTTGATACATGTATTTTTGCCGAATGCACTCGTTGATGCCTAAACTTTAATCATCTTTGGGCAAAATATTTATCTCTTTTCATCATGGATTTGTATGATAATATTGTGCCTTGCTGTTCCATAATGATAAACATTTCCTTAAAATCGTATGTCAGCTAGTTAATGTATGAGTCAAAGAATATTACAAATCAAATCAAATTCAATTAAATAAAATGAATAAAGTAAATAGGTTGATAATAATCACTGCGAATAGGCGCATCGCAAATACGCTCTTTGAAAGATTTTCCAACTTCAATTGTTGTTTTCGTTACACGATTGAGGCATCTCCACATGTTCATTAAAAATCCGGAATGAGGCTAAACCAAATTACATTGCGCCACAACGCAAAATATTCTAATGCGCTACAAACTTGTAGTTTGAGCTTTTTTGTTCATTCAATATAATGAATGAGCACTCGCATACTCTGCGCACATAGCACAAGAGGGCATATCGGTTTGCTAGATTGCCTAGTCCCTCTGAAAACATTAACATATACTGCGATACATACCTGTGTAATATATTTAGACATTGCGCGCGGGTCAGACCAATGCAAATCGAAAATAGAGAGGAAACCGTATTGCGGGTATACCCGTACACTCATAGAGCTTTTTTCAAACAGACACCAAGCTTACGCACGCTCAAATTGTTACAGCCGGTCAAAATTAGCTCGAAAAGTAACTCAATTGTCGCTCAAATTCTCTAAAACGAACTAGTCGACGACGAGCGAGCGTCGTGCGCCGTGCGCTACGCTCGCCTTCGGATCCTCGTCGGCAACTCCCACAAGTGAGCCTGGCGAGTGTCCTCGGTGTCCTCGGCGCTGCCTTCGCTTAGACGCACCCACAAAGCACTTCAAATAGCATTGAATTCAATTGAAGTGGTGCTAGAAGGCGTTAACCAACGAAGCACTCGGCTTGAGTCGTCGCCTCGCTTTGAGTGCTTTGAGTGGAAAAAGTGCGCAAAATCCTTGTCGTCGAATAAAAAAACTGTTCGTTCAGCCAATTGCAAGCGGCAGTGGGAAATATGTTGCTTTCTTTGTTAGTTGCTCTTGTAGTTGTTGTTTATATATGTAGGTATATAATTTATTTATTTGTTTGTTATTATACTCATTTATTCATATATATATACTTATTTAATTTATATATATATATATATATATATATATATATATATATATATATATATATATATATATATATATATATATATATATATATATATATATATTGCTGATATGGTTTCCATATGTATATATAGATATATATGTGTAAACTTATCGTGCAAAAAAAAAGATATCTACTTGACTAACAAAGAATATTACAATTATACTCGTAAATTCCCATTTAAAAGCATTTTTGTTTGAAATGTTTCCACTCTCTAAATGGCATACATATGTATATTCAACGGCAATATATTAACATCCTATTCATATCGTACTCCTACATATAAATAGCTCTTATAGTTCATTGAATGATACTTCATTGTCTTCGTATTGTGATTAATGTTAGATTTTCGTTATTTACTGTTAGCATTTAACAACAATTGCTACAAACGTATTTTATTTGTATACCTTTTTCTGCACTTATCTGATTTCCGACCTATGTACATAAGCTTTTTCGAGATTACATTAATGGTACATACTGAGTAATAATGTTCATCTTCTTCATGTAGGAAAATGTGTGTTCATTCATTTTATATACATAACGTATGTGAATAAATACATCGCTTATTTCTCTTTCAACGATCCCGATACTTGGAAAGTAATTTATATTCACTCCAGCTCAATCTCAAACAAATTAACAGCTTTGGGCATCTATACCCATTCAAATGATCCTATATTGAAAACAAGCTGGTGTGGTTCAAATGAGATGTGATGTGAAAATGAAATCTAGTTCTGGTCCTATCTGTCAAAAAGAGGCACCGTCTTAAATTTGATTGGGCTGATGTTGGTGGCATTCGCACCGAATTGAACTGTTATTCCCACGTGCTGGTAAGGTATGCAGGTAGATATCCACCACTTATAGATTAGCATTATATATATATACATATATATATATATAGTATTACTTAGTTGTAAACTTCGTATGTTGATATATTAACTGCATGTACACAACGTGCAAGTGCAAGAAGCTCTCGATTTTGTTCTCGTGTTCAGTATTCATTCATATTTATGTATATATGTATGCATATAGAGGGCTAGTTCGATTAATAAAAATAGCTGCATACCCCAATATGTTAAGTTATTGAATATGTATTGCACTAGTTGATTCGAGTTACTTGTATATAGACAGACATACGTACATAGACATTACAACTACAGTTAGCACTATTCAGATTCTCGACAATCTCGCCGTATTGTGGATTTTAAATAGAAACAACAACGGTACATCGGCATCTAGTAGCACTATATGGCCAAAGACTTTGTGGCCTATTCATCAGCTTATATGCAACATATAATAATATCGATACTAATGTATTCATAGAGCATATGCTCTATAGCTGTATTCGCGTCGTTGTTTAAGAACAATAAATATTATATTATTTGTTGCAAATGAATAATATGTACAGTATACGTATGCACGAGTATATGTTATGCCTATATGATGTGGGCACCAATTATGATGCGCTATGCTCTACATATGATCTATAATTACGATTGCATTTCCATATGCTCATGGCTATATTAAATACTTTTGCTTATAGGTGCACACACACACATGATGTACGTATAGTTCTTCTATGCGGGAACGTTTACTCCTCCAGACCAACTTATCATCTACAAACTGTTGAGTCATCGCCGGCGCATATCGAATGGGGCGAGGCGAGGAACAGTTTGCCGTTAAAGCAGGCACACAGTTGGAAGACTCGATGCATGTGATCTCGATTCTGAGCAGATCCCATTATCGGCGGCTGAGCAGTGCGCAAGTTGGGCATAATTATCTTGGACGACTCCAAACGCAGCTGTGCAGTTGGTAGAGGGGAACAGGAGAATGGGGTATATTGCATAATTGTTGCATTGCATATGCAGGCTATTCCAGTTGAGATTCAATAGAATATAGCTAGAATATATATTATACTCACGCTGCCATCAAGCGCGCGCAATTTGACATCCTCCAGGGCTATCAGCTCGATTCCTCCGGCTCGAGACTGTAAATTGATATCTTTTGCGGCTGTTATCTCTAATTGACGTGTAGGCGACTCTAGTCTGCAATAAACTCAACGAATTGAAACATAAAAAAAAACACTACGAGTTGCACAACATAATATATTAATATAAATTAAGAATCTAGAGCTGATACTGACTAGAGCTGATCGAATTTGAAATTGGATCTTTTAACTTTATTTTCCAGTTTCTAGCTCGATTCTTCTTCAGCAGCTCAGTTTTGTAAGCGGAAGAAGAATATAATATACGGTATCGTAATGATGTATATTCAATCTACTGTTTGCTTTTAATTTAATCGTTTTGATAATATCGCCTATTTGCCAAATGCTGTTGCTGCAGTCCACCAGAAAAGTCTCGGGGGAAAAAAATAGACACGAATGAGCCTACCGGTCATCGGCAAATTTGTCAATGTAAACGTTATTACAAGCATCGCTCGCACGGCTGTTAATGGTCCGTACACACATTTACAACCTCAAAGCCCATCCCCACACTGGCCAGCATACGAGTTATCACCACAATATTCCAATATAGACCCAACGATTCTCTGGCAATAAAAAAAAAAAATGAAATAATCAATGCCCTCGAGCGCTTTTCAATTCAGTCGTCGTCGTCGCCAACGATGCCCATTTCAATGATGATGGCCTACCGAGCCCCCACAAACACCGCTCATCACATTTCTGCATATGTGTATGCGTGTGTGTGTGTGTGTGTGTGTGTGCATGTGGATGTGTGCATGCTGCATGCAAGCATGTGTGTGTGTGCCGTGTGTAAATATTTTCGCTCTTCAACAGGCTACATGCCAACACCTCACGAGTGTCAGCGTTTTGTGTTTTGTTGTTGTTGGTGTTGCTGTTGTTGGTGACGTTGTTGTTGCCGCCGCAAAGGTGATGGCGACGTTGACATACACAGTTGAGCATTAAGAGCATGGGCGGGTGTTTGTTTGTTTTTAATTTTTTATTTCTGAGATTTTGCCATGCCCGATTAATGTATTTGGCTTACACACACACTCACACACATACATGTATATATATATATATATATATTTCTATATATATATATTTCTATATATGTATACATATGGGTATATGCATGGGTGTATATGTGAGATATGTGTGTTATGGATTCTACGAAATTTATTACTGTTGTTGAATTTCAGCACTGTATGGAATTTCGCTGCGGCATTCCAATGGCTCTCTGTACTGGGCATTGTTTTCCTCCGTGCCTGGCATAATGACTTCGTCACGTAATGGGTGACGCACTACGAGGGCATCCTTTCATTCAAGCATGTGCATCAGATTTGGCTTGATCACGTACACATGCAAACTTATCCTATTAGACTACTAGACTAACTAGCATGGGCAAGGGTATCAAGTCGTCCGTACTGTGAATTCAACGTTTTTAACGGACTTTCATTCAGTTTTATTGGAATGCATAATAGGCTTCCTTCAATTGATATAATTACTCTGACAAATTTTAAGTCAAATGGACATATTTATGTATTTATTACAGACAGGTTATTGCATTTCATTCAATATAATTGTATAAATCAATTATGATCATGCTCTGACATGTAAAGAAGCCTTTGTAAAAAAATCCGAATGTGTATATATATACATACAAATATACACAACTATATATATGTATATATATACAACAGCACACTACAGTGGGTCTTAGGTATTGAACACTTACCTGAGCTCCCGGCCCGGCTCAGCACGAATGTGCGGTGTTTGTATGGACTCCCGGAAGATGGCGCCACCCTCTCCCTCGATGCGAAGCGAGTGCGCTCCGATAGTGACTTGATTTCGATTTACCGAAAATAAATTTCGTCCGGTGGTATCGTTGATGCGAAATCCCGCTGACAGACATTCAAACTTATCATGCCCCAGGAATAAATGATTCTCAAGCACACCGTTCGGGTCACGTGTATTGATTGAAAAATTACGTGAGGACTCTGTTGATGGCGCCGCCAGCGACGAAGGAAAGAGATACAATTTATACGAAGTACTTTAGAACGACGTCAGAAAATGCTAAGTTCTATTTATTATATTCCATTTAAATATGATTTGAACAGTCTCAAAAATCAGTCCGGCATATACATGGCGCATATGTCGACATGTCAGCTATGCGAAATAAATAAATGCGAAAATTTGCATTGCCTGCTTTGGCATAGTGCGAAAAACCTAGCCAGACTGTGTAGCACTCTGCCTTGAAGTTGTCCTTTTTGTGCGACTCTCTCTCTGCCGTCTATTGCTAGACAACTGGGTCTTTAACGAGACGTTTTTGCAAGGGCACCGGGGGGCACGGCACATTTACATGCGACCGTACCTTTGCCTTCATTCGTCTTCTTTGGCTGAGCCACGGATATCGTATATGTTGGCTATCTGTAATTGTACATCGCTTGATTGCTGTAGACCGCAGCGGTAACAGCTGCGATCTCATTTGATAAGATACCACCTCCGCTTGTCCATTCACGCCTTGCAGGATGTCAGTGGCAACATTCCGACACATATGCATATTAACGTACGTACACACGTATGCATGCAAAGGTATGAACTTTTACCGGCTACCTATCTGCGAATCTACTGATTTATGGCCCGAGTGACAACGGCACACATTTGTCGTGGACAGGTCCAGCTCAACTGGAGGCAGTTGCCCCTAGGCTGGGAGAAGGCTGGAAAGCAAATTGCTTGGCTAAGTAGAACTCAAAACGTTTCATGCCTCATCTGATATTCTTCAAATAGAAGCTGCTTCTGTTTAATTTGACTTCTCACTAATTCTGATTTCTGCGTAGAACAAATAGACCCAATAAAGTGTATAAACTAAATCTGATCATGAAGGTACACTCACAGCATTATATAACAAGTATTTAAATGAAGCATTTATGGCAAAAACTTACCTATGGATATCGGCTGACCGTGCCTGGAACGTATTGTCGATGCCCGCAGCATGTCCATAATGACCGTCTGGCCAGTGAGTTGGATGCCACCCGGAACGATCTTCAGTTGACCCATGCCATCCTGAAATAGCAGGGTGGATAAACCGTAGAGCTAGGGCTGATATACAACTCTTTACTACTTTACTCACCGTCGAAAACTCCATCACCTTGAGTATCCACAATGTTAGCACCAAGTTTGTGATGATAAGCAGCATTAACAGTAACAGCAATGTGTATAGGCACTTTTTACGCCAGCCAATTAGGCCGAGATACATCTCGACTCCATCGACGAAGCCACCGACATTCTCCTGCTTTTTGGCACCCACGGACGAGCCACCTTTGCCGCCGCCTGACACAATAGTGCGATTCCCCCTCTCCCCACCTGGTCTGGCTGTCATTATGGTGGCCGTCTTAGCGGAGGCAGAGGAGGAGGTGATTGCACTGCGTGGGCCACCCTCGCCGGCATTGCTGCGTGCCAAAATGCCCGCTTGGGGCGTTTTACTTTTTCGCATTTGTTTGGGCGTGGCTCTGGCGGTCTGCTGGTGTCCTGTTGCCGCTGGCATTGACATTGCAGTTGCTCTACAAGCTCCAACTTCTGCGCTGCCACCGGCCAGCATCGCAATCAATTGATTTTCCTGGTTCTGCTCTCTGCTTCCTGTTTTATTCCTTTAGCGATCCGCTTCGTTTGTGCGTGCGCTCTGCGCCGTCCATATTAATACATAGCTGCCTTAACTGCATCAACCGAAGCTAATCAAATTTCGTTTATAATTCATATACTGAACAAATGTAGTATTGTACCTGCGAAAGAAACCATTCATTACAATTCGATAGTATGAGGACCAGACATTATCTTTCATAATAGGAGTGGTATATACTGAAGATAATCAGCGTTATTATTTGGATCGAATGGATCGACCGAAGCCAGATAACATTATTCTCAAATCTGATTTTCCCCAGTAATCATATGCCATAGTGACTTCTAAAACCTCCAAAGTCACTACATCTTGGGCGAGGTCAGGAAAAATTGCGGAATTCATCTGTCTTAAAAAATCTGAAAGTATTCGTACTATGTGTGACATGCTGTCGGCGGACTGAACAGCGATTACATTACTGATTTTGATTTTGTCTTTAATATTGCCCTGTTTGGCGACATCCGCCGATATGCCACTGCTGACATCAGTTGGTGGCTTCACACCTGCAATTGTTAAATTATGCATAACTGCATGTCAAAGTGCGCACTTTTGCATTCAGATATGAAGCCATGCACATGTGTATCATTGGGTCTCAGATAAAAAGATAAACAGCCAGTGCGAGAGATGAAGCTGCCGGCAGATGCAGATACATCTACAGATAGAAATACAAATACAGATACAGATACAAGAATGCATAATCTGATGCATTCACTTGTATGAGCTGTGCTGTCGCCCTCGACGGGCTGCGGGGGGTTCCACAACCTGGCAACTACACATTTTGTGCATTCATTAAGTTTTCACGTCAAAAGAATTCAAAATAATAAAAAATAGCGTATAAGACTGCTGTCAGTGAGTCCAACTGACCGTTCGATACTCTGTTTACAATGGTCGTCATAGGGCATGGCAGCGGCCTGTTGATCTGCTCTTCTTAGAGCTCTTCGAAAATAGATCTATCCCTAAAATTGTGAGGCTTTCATCTATAAATATTGTATTTATGCAATGGGAACTAATATACTGACTCGCTGACACTCTGAAACTTGAGTGTATTAAATAAACAAAAAATATGAGTGCACTTTAAGAGAATCATAAATATGGCAGTTGAATATTTCGAGGTGAAATATGTGCACAGATACATACATATGTACATGCATATGTGAAATTATATATATAAAACTATGGATTTAAGTTGACTTTTCACTTCCACTGGGCTATATACATTCGAAGAAGAAGAGATAAGTTGAGTCAATCTAAAATAAACCAGAAGTGGAAATGATCTAAATATAGAAAATATGTGTATGTAGTTTTCTTTTCATGTGGATTTTCATGGCCGCAGCGAGAAAAGCGTTCGGCGTGGGCGTGAGTAATGAAACACATTTTTGATGCGCTCAGTAAAAATATAGAATTAAATGTGTAGATATTTTCTCAGCTATTGAGATCGATTTTCCCTCATTCCCTAGTGTGAATTATGGATTTGCTTTGAATACGTGTTACAATTCCGCTGTATACACTCACGCATAGGTGAATTAATCAATGAATGTTTCTTGCTCGCTTACATCTGCCCATTTCTACAGATATTCTATGCGGTATTGCTACTTTATGACTCTTTTGGAACTATTACCATATCTGTTTAGATTATTGACATTATATTCAAGCGACAGCCCTCTCACCTTGACTTACGCTCACCCTGGTATACACAGCCGAAAAATATTATTGTTAATAAAAATTTTGGCTAAATAGATGTTTGCCCACCTCAATTTTAGCAATATTTTCAGTTCATTCGCGATTTGTTTATTCAGCGCTACTTAACAAGTGAGAAATTGTTTATAGAATCCCAAAGTAAATACCAGTTTTGTTAGCAAATTAATGGCCAAAGCCAAATGGCTTTGAAGATTTTGCAACGAGCTATTTTTAAGCATTTTACAGTACATATTAATGCGACCGTAAGTACTTTAACGAGCTGCTGAAAGTGTCTAATTGCAGATCAAATACTTAAAACTGAAAAGTATAAGATCTTGAGAATTTTGTCGAAACAAATCCGATAAAATTAAATCAATCTCAATTAAATCCCCAAAAAGAAATCTATCAAATTGAAATTTTTGTGGCTTAGCACAGCCGCTGACTCCGCCTAACCGCAGACTAGCCGGAAAAAAGGAATTAATTGAATTAAATTCTTTGCTGCCATTGCGCGAATTGAAATGGATAAGTAATGTATTTTGTAATCATAAAAAATCGCGTCCGTTGCTGGATTTTATAGGTTCCTAATGTGCAATTCTTTCTGCATGAATCTGCATTGTTTGGCTTGATATATTCACATACCTTTCGGTGTTCTTTGTACGTAGCTCGGACACAATTGGAGTTTCAGCCATACATTGGGATCGAATGGCATATCTCGATCACTGAGATATAAGAAAGGCTTTATCTCACCAAATTTCAAGCTTAAAAATCGGTTAAGGCATATGAAGATCACTTTCACTTTCTGAATAGAATTGAACGGAATAAGTTTTTACGAGGATAGACAGTAAATAGAATTTTTGTTTTTTTCAACTCTTGTGAGTTGTGAGTTGAATTGGAGAAGAGGAGTTTGCTTGGTCTACAAAGCACTTTTCCAAACTAAAGGGAAGTTTCAGTGGCAGGAAGGACAACTAAAGAGTTAGCAACTAGTTGGAATTGCAGGAAGTGTGCCTGTGTGTGTGTGTGTATGTGTGTGTACTCGGGGATAATATGAGGGTTTGCAAGGGGCTTGCACAAAACGTTTTCATTATGCCCGCACATACATATAGCCATAATCTCAAAAAAGAACTCGGACAAGCAGTTAGACTGACTGCCTTAATGGCGGTCGGGGAACGTGCTCTGTGAGCGGTAACTAGAGCCCGAATGCAAATACCCAACGCGTTGATTTAGTATCTGCAGACAGCCGGTTATTACACGCACTCGAATGGCGAGCAAAAGGTTTACTGGGCGGAAATAAGGGACAGGGCAACTATTAGTTGCAGTGGCTCCAAAAGCGACGGCTGCTAGCACGTACGTTCAGTTTTAGTTAAGTTACAGATATACACAGACATAAACATATATATATACATGAGTATGTAGTTGCCTCAAAGTTAATGTTGCATGTTCTCATCGTTGTTGTTGCTGTTGTTGTCACACGTTTTTATTGCCCAAAATGCAGCATATGCTCCAAATTATTCGGCTGCAATGGGAGGCAGTCGTAGGTGCTGTTTGGCTCAGCATATCACAGTGAGCATACATGTCTGTCTGTTACATGTCTGTACATAATATCCGCTTGGATTAGGCATCTTCTATATATCATCCGAAAAAACACACCTAAGTGTCCTCAAGCATCTCTTACTAAGCATACTGAATATTAATTCAAATGATATCAACATAATAAGGATCCATAAAAATGTTGGATTATGATGAAGCAACTTGCATTATATTACATATGTTTTAAAATTTGAGGAAATCTCAGTATCTCTTCTCAGCTGCCCTGTACGGTATGTATAGGTAGGCTTGACTGTAGTAGAGTGGTTGCATGTGTTTGCATGTGCGAGTACGCCTCTGAATGTGGACACACACTTTCGGAAACGGAAACGTATATAAAGTTGTTGAAAATTCCTTGACAATGGGCAATTTAACGTGAAGTAGACTTATTGCAAGCAATAACTGAGGAGAAGCAGGCTTAGAGGGGCCAAGCTGACGGCGGGGCGCAGACACTTGGACACTCATTCTTAACTAAAAATATTAGCTGTGTCCCGACATTTACTTATCAAAAACAACCAACACACATGTTCGCCAAGGTTGATGGGGGTCGCGTATGTATTTGCGTATTTACGGCGAGCCGCTGTCTATAATGTCCCTGCGTAGAGTTTCTGTTAGACAGTTAACTACGTTTCATATCCAGCTTCGTATATTAGTTAGTCTGTTGGTTACTCTTTTCAGTGCAAAACTAAGACCAGTCACTGTCACTAGAAATTCGTATTCATATCACGCGTTTGGGCGATAAACTCGAACAGAGTTTTTGCTACAAAAATATTTCCCTCAAGTTGTTCTTTGCGAATTTAATTCTATATTTTACTTGTGTGAAACGAAGGAGAGTAATAATTTTGCATTTCCTAGAATGTACTTTAAAAAAAGCTTATAAAAATCTTTTCCTTTAAGTAGATCGGCTTCGAGTTTATCTATTCGTAAATCTAAATCCTGTGTTGAAACAATCTGCACGGCAGTAACATACTAATCTATGTTCTGCTATTCGGTGGATATCGTCAATTATGGTCCTCTTCCTTTATAGCTTGGAATGAGCAATATCTAAGATTTTAGTTATATATAGGTATTACTAGTTTACTTTGAAGTATTTACTTTTAAAGTGTAGAAAGAGATCCCGATGGTTATATGATAATGGTTCCAGGTACATACCATTCTATTTTAAAAGATGGATTGGAGAACTGCCGTCACTGTGCAACTTATTTATAATTTTTCTTTTCTGTCTCTGAATTGAATTAATGTATTAGCAAAATCATTGCATCACAATTGATTAAATTGACCATTTTTCACATTAAGAAATATTAAATAGATTTGAAATATGTTTTGGACACTTGATAACAAGTATGTGAGCACAGAATTGTTTTCAAACAATTACATATAATCAATCAATAGCGTATATACATATATATAAATATATATATAAAAAAAAAAAATATATTTAAAAACTTGTACAAATATGTCGACAAAATTAACCGAAGACGGAGCACTGCGAGTCTTAAGAATGTAATAGATGCTCGACAACGTGTTTGACCTGGACCGCCGCTACGGTGTACTGAAGTCGTGAGCGTTTGCAAAACAACTGACGGCACAGGCACTTCTGCTCGAACATCAACACTTCCGTGGCCGCTGTGGCGGCAGCCAGTGGAAATTGGCACTGGCTGCCAGTGGCAGTCGGCAGTGGGCAATCGGCAGTCGGCTCTCGGCAGTCGGCAGTCGCAGAGACGCGTCGGGTGTCAAAAGCTTTTGCCGAACGCTGGCCAAAAGTTTCACTCAAATCAAACTCGCTCGTCCGTTCTGGTAGGTCGGGTGCGAGCGGTGAGCGTCGGCTCCATTCGGTTCCCTTCGGCAGACCGCCTTCGCGGGTTTGTTTACCTTTTCGAGCATTCAACACGTGGTTCTTCCAACACTTTGGACTGCGCTTCTGTTTACCTTTGGCCACTGAGTAAGTAGCCAGTCAATGTTGGCTCCATTCCGCTAGTCGGCGTCCAATAATTAACTATTTAGCATTACATTGATACGTAATCTGTATTATGTAAGCGAAGGCTGCTCAAAATGTAAGTTCTTCGAATACGCTTCTTAATAAGCAACATCAATATTGTAACGGGAGCACAGCGATGAGTATTATTATGCAATTAGTTACTAGAATATCCAACAAAAAGTGAGAACAGACACCAGCCCGTTTCTGTAAAGATAGTGAATTAAGTTTTCGTAAAATAGATAAATTATTAATTGTTGTCATCTGCATGCGAGTATTTGGGGATGCTCGAGCTTTTGGTTCGTTGGGACAATGCAATAAACAGGGTTCAGTCCTGCGTACCTCTTTGTTGTTTAGCCTGTGTATCCTTGAGCGTGTTTGCAAATTAAAAGCGTTTTCATCTTTGGACAGAGTTCATAATTTTGCGCCTTTCATTAAGACCTCTATATAGCATGCGTGGGTTGCACACACATTGGTCCCTTTAATTGTTCTTTCCAACAGCTGCTATAGGGCATACTCAGCCTCAGATGCCGAGCTGCCTGAGCAAGGGCACTGAGGGAGGGTTGGGGAGCGCTTGAAAGGAAAGAGCAACCAGATTTGGGTCACTGCTTATGCAGCGGAGATACTTCCACGTTAGGTATATACCCAAAATGTTGTAAGCGCCCGCTCCGCAACTTATCTTTTGGACTATTGTGAGGAGAGTCACCCACTGTTTGGCTAGGCATAGTCGATGTGGATGTGGGCGTGGCTAGTCTGCCCAGAGGCTTTGCGGAACCACATATCAACCAAAAACCCTTGTAATTGTGCCGTCCTATGCCGCTTTACATTTTATTCACAAAGAGCCACGCCAGCCCATCCACACACAGCTGTTAATTGTCCTCTGAAGCCAAGGAGTCAGCTTGCGGGCACAGTTGGCGTCCTCGACATTGTGGATTTTCTGCATATATAATTTGTAATTTTAAAACTAGACTTTTCGCTATATTTTGTTCTTGAATGTGACAGGTCACGTTTGCTGGTAAAATAATAAGCTTACACTAGAGTCTATCGCAGTATGGCAGCTGTTTGAGTTGTGTTTCAGTCTGCACTTACACCAACAGAAAAGGATTGAAAGTCTGTGCCAGTTCATTTCATAAAAAGCATAATTATGACCCTAGTACCATATGTATATCAGGAAATATATGCTAATCTAGCCACATCTGCCTGCGCCTCGCATAGAAATGCTCGTTACACCGGACTTTCCGTGCAAATTAAAGTAGACTGTACACCTATCTCTCTGAACGGACTTATTAATTCAGTATCAACTCAATGAGAACTGCGTGATTGTAAATTGATTGCAATCAGCGAAACGTACTATTAGAATGGCTTAATGACCATTCTCAACTTTGAAGGTCGTTAAAAGACTCAGGTTTTCCTTGAAATCGCAGGCGAAATTTATATGGTCAACTCAATGATTGCTCGCCGTAGCTAAGCTTTGTGTGCTGTCAACGCCAAACATCGAACGTCAATATAGAGAAATGCCCGTCATAAAGAAGGTGGAGACATTGCGAGACAGGCAGCCATTCCAGTTGCCGATGAGCCAGCCAACCAGTCAAGCAGTCAACCAGTCAGCCAGTCAGTCAGCCCATCAATTGTTTCAACGTGAGTGGGAATAGTTGTCTTTTCCTTTTTTTTTTTGCTGATGGCATCATCAGTCCATCGGCAGGGAACAGAAATAGCATCATCGTGGCCATCATGCACAGCACTGGTCTTTCCTTCCTTTTCCTGTTCCTGGCATTGGCATTGGCACTGGTCTACTGCAAATGCCGAAGTGCACCAAAAACAAACCAACTAACGATCGGCAAAGCGACACGACAGTGTCGGCCCAACAGATGTGTAGAAGTGCCTTCTGTTGGGCTCCAGCTCCACCGCCAGCTTCAACTCAGGCAATGGGAGTGGCAGTGGGAGGGGCATGGGCAAGAGGCAGGGGCATTGGCAGAGGCCCAAGCACGAGTGCAGAGAAATCCCATGAATAATTCCACTTCAATTCCACTTTGTATATTTCATTTTTGTGTTGCATGCATCATGACGGCAGCGTCAATGACAGACGACAGCAATTGGCTTTGATAACGTTTGCTCTTTTGCGTTACTATCGCGGCGTGGCGCGGTTCGAGGGGTATTGTCAGACTGCTCATTCATCGCATTCCGCAACTCGGCCAACACCCGTCATGTACTTATTAATCAACAATCATTCTCGTCCTGTTCCCATTTCAGTGCAACTTTTAAGCCTGGCTCCAGCCCGGTCCCAACCGGGCACCAGGTTGTATATTTATTTCGTTGCCCTCTGTGCATTAAATAAACTTGTGTGTCAAATTCTGATCAATTATTCAGTTAAAATGCCGGACAAATCTACTCACCACATTTTTCCCATTTGCAAATTGAATGATGGATTTATGAGTTTACAGCATTAAGTCGTTTGGTTTTTGATGGAATTAAATAAAGGTATATTAAAAGTATTGCCATCAATGACCAAAAGCACATGGGTCCACATTCAACTTTCAACATTCAACATTCGACATTCGGCATCCCACATTCTCTACATACATATATACATACATAAATTTGCATTCGTGGCATAGGCAGTTAGTGGAAAGTGCATCGACGTGGATTATTCAAATAAAAATATAACAAGAGTCCTTCCGTTTCTGACACATAGCAGACACACACACATGCATTCGCATGTGTTTGTGTGTATATTTAGAAGTGGGTATGGATGTAGTTAAGTCAACCGTAAAGGTGCGCGATTGGCGACCTGACAGCTGACAGGAAACTCTGTAAAAAACTCCAAGAGCTTGCTTATGGCACATTTATCAATTTGGATTGAAGAGTCACGGACATGAGATAAGTATTATGCTAAGTAATAAGTATTTATGCTCCTAAATAAGATATTTGTAGTTCCAATAAGAGAGATTCTACAGTGTAGTAGGGGTAGGAGTTGTTAAATTGGGTATCAATCATAGAAATACCGACTTAGAGGCAGGTGAACATATACTATAATTATGATTTGCCAATCCGAGTGCAAGATTACAATCATATCACAACTGGGATTGAAATTGGGCTCCCGTTAAATTTGAAATCGGTATAATGTTCACGCGTAAATTATACATGCATTACAAGGCTGAAGCTGCTTATTAACGTATAGGTGCGTATATGAGACATTTTACGGCGGAATGCTACATTCCCTTATACTATCACAAGTAAATGCCGGCTAATGAGGAAAGTTAATATAGCATTATATACATGCCACCATTTACAGCATATGCAGCATGTACAGTGATGTAAATGAGCAGATTTATGTACACATAAATTCCTCATCAGGTTTCACTTTCCTGCTCTGAGCACATGCAGCCAGAGCGCATAGGTAAGCACTCTTGCGTTCAGTTGTCTAAGCGATTTTTGATTACACTTCCGTCGGAAATTATCATATATCCTTCAGCTTGAATAATTTTCAAGGAGAATCGCGACATAGGCGGCTCGTAGAGAAACCAAGCTACACTACAGAGGCCGATGAGGTCTTTAACACAAAGGGTAAAACTCAAAGGAAGGATACATTCGAAACTTTGAATTGATTGACGGTGAGCTACTCAGGCTTCATCAATTATTTATTTTCCCACCACAATTGCAATCTTTTTACATCGAGAAAACCGGAGAAACGAAGTCTATTTATTGCCATTTTGTTAGCCGAATATTAACACAAGATAAGTCGATTCGCGACTAAACCAATAATATGTTAAGTGCATTTAATATACTCTCCTTAGCGCTTTAGTGGCTGTAAGAACAGCAAGCATTTATTCAGGCAGCCAAGGCACATCCTGCCCCTGTGCTCTCCACCATTCACATTTCACCGTTCGCCCTGCACTCTCCCCCTGCCTAGACAGTCGTCTGGTCGAGAAGCGCAGAAACCCGACGCTAATTAAAGGCATTTGTTGTAGCATTTTCATTCAATTAATTATTTCGGCTATCAACGCTGTCAATCTTTTTATCAACAACAAATCTGCCAAGCCAGTGCCGCAGCAACCGAGTAATCGTATAGTCAGTGAAAACTTATTTGTTTTGGCAGCTTGAGGCCAGCAGCTGCCGTTGAGTAGCGGCCAACATCAGTTAGACCGACCACTCAACGGGTGGCTAACAATGCCTTATAAACGCTTTGTTTTCGCCTCTCTGTTCTCTCTCTCTCTCTCTTTCTCTCGCTCTCGCTCTATCTCCATCTCTCCTCCTCCCTGCTTTCGCCTGCTTTTATTTTTACCCAACGTTGTTGCATTTGCTCTCTGCTCAACAGTCCGCAGTCTGATATTTGTAGAATCCAGCTTGTCCTTTTGTTAAACGTCTATCAGCCGTCAGATGTGCACGTCTGAACATCTATGGCTGATGGGTGTACAAAATGAGAATGGTTGTAAATAATTTGAAACCTTTGAACGTATTGCTCGCGTACGCTTCAGAAATTATTATATACCCCGAGCTACTACCGACAAGCCAGGAAACGTAGGCTACAAGGATTCAGTCATGACTAGCAGAGCTAAGTACCCATCAGATGATAGGAACCTAGTTGCCAAGCTACTTAATAAGTCCCTCTTTGAAACGTTTTTCAATTGGGCAGAGCACGCTGATGATGTGGAGTGTAGCTCTC